ATATAGATATAGATATAGATATAGATATAGATATAGATATAGATATAGATACAGATATATAGATATAGATATAGATATAGATATATAAAACAACTCTATATATGAAGTTAACAACTTCATCTTATTTCGATTCACAGTTAACACAATTGGTACCATCAATTAGGAAATCAGGATATGTATTGATTTCAGAAAGTCTGCAGTTAGAGACCTCTCCAAATTTTTGAGGAGTAATAATGTCAGTTTGAGGACTAAGGTGTGTCTGATTCAGGCCATGGTCTTTCCAATCCTTTACTATGCATCTGAGAGCTGTACAATGAAATGGAATGACAGAAGAGTTGAGGCCTTTGAATTGTAGTGCTGGAGAAGAGCACTGAACATGTCATGGACTGCCAAAAGGACAAATAAATATGTCTTGGGGAGGGTGCAGCTTAGTGTTCTTTGGAGGCAAGGATGATGAGGTTTCGTCTCAAATTCTTCTGGCATGTTGCTAGGAGGGGCATCTTCCTTTGAGGGAAAAGATGCTTAGAAGGATGGAGGGTCAGTGAAGGAGAGGAAGATCCTCAACCATGTGGATTGACTGCCCTAATCTAGTGTGCCAGGAAGTATGAAAGATAGGAAGGGGTTCAGATCTGTTGTTCATAGAATCACTATAAGTCATACTCAACTCAATGGTACTAACAACAACAACAACTGCCTGGATTACCTCCCTTTTATTTGTTTGTTTACTTTTAAATTCTAACCTTTTGCTGGAATAAAAGTATTTACTTTATAATCCAATCTGATTATCTAAAATTTTTTATTGAATTAAATTGAGCATTGGGGCTCAGAGAAGAAGTCTAACGGTTATATGTGGTGTTATTTTTGTCTGTTCATAATAATTTTAGGATTGCATTCCTGTTCTCTCTTGTCATTTAACAGTATCTCATACTTTTACATATAGTCTATATAAGAAAAATGTTTATTATTTATTAATTTTTTATTAGAGGTCTTTCAAAAATGGAATTTTTTTTTGGTCTATGTTTCAGAAAAAAATTGTGAGGGGATGATAATAAACATAGCAAATCTATGTTGAAAGTGTACTTTTGGATCTGGAAATAGGTGCTTTCCAACTGACTCACCATGAACACTCTCAATTCCTCTGAAATTGAGATCACCACTTTCTTCCTGGTAGGAATCCCAGGACTGGAACATGTTCATATATGGGTCTCCATCCCTATCTGCCTCATGTACATAGTGGCCATCCTGGGCAATTGCACTATCCTGTTTGTGATCAGAACAGAACCCTCCCTTCATGCACCCATGTACTACTTCCTTTCCATGCTGGCAATCTCGGACTTGGGCCTATCTCTCTCCTCTCTTCCCACAATGCTGAGGATCTTCTTGTTCAACGTCACAGGGATTTCTCCAAATGCATGCTTCGCTCAAGAATTCTTCATCCATGGATTCACAGACATGGAGTCCTCAGTTCTACTGCTCATGTCCTTTGACCGCTTTCTGATCATACACAACCCTTTGAGATATAACTCCATCCTAACAAGTGCCAGAGTTGCCAAAATGGGGCTGGTGTTTCTCATTAAAAGTGTGCTCTTAGTGCTTCCATTTCCGTTTACACTCAAAAGGTTAACATATTGCGGGAAAAGCCTACTTTCTCATTCTTACTGCCTTCATCAGGATGTCATGAAGCTGGCTTGCTCTGACAACACAGTTAACTTTTTCTATGGTTTCTTTGTTGCTCTCTGCATGATGTCAGACAGTGTGTTCATAGCTGTGTCGTATGTGTTCATCCTGAAAACAGTAATGGGAATTGGATCCCACAAGGAAAGGCTTAAGGCCCTTAACACCTGTGTCTCTCATATCTGTGCTGTGCTCATCTTCTATGTGCCCATTATCGCTTTGGCCTCCATGCACCGGTTTGGCAAGCACAAATCCCTAATGGCCATGATCCTCACTGCTGATATTTTTTTGCTAGTGCCACCTCTGATGAATCCCATTGTATATTGTGTGAAGACAAGGCAAATTCTTGAAAAAATTCTGGGAAAATTGGGTCTAAAACAAAGATAATGAGAAATAAGGAGAATTTGTTGCCAGGGTGTAAAATAAAAAGAGAAAATAATATTGTTGTGGAATTTATCTTTCAATCTGACTTTCCTAGCCATAGCTTGACTTTGCCGTGTAGATCGACAGGAATATGATACAGCTGATTCAATATATTTAGTACAGAGTGCTGAGCATTTATTGTTTGTCTTAACTGAAAAAAAAAAAAAATAAAACACGTAGTATTAACTCACATTCAAGCTTCAGTTTAGAGGAACATTTCCAGTGTACTTTCTTTCATTGAAAATTGATGATCATTTTCAATTGCAAATTGGAATTTAAATACTTTTACAGTTAATATGTCCTATAATCTCTAGCTTTACACTGGTTTTCTTAATCGTTTGAGTCTTTGTCATGTTTTGCTACTTACATTATTGATTATATAAGTTTAATATAATTATCTATTCATAGGCTTATAAACTATAGTTAAGCTTTAGGATGATCAGCTTGAATATTTGTAAGTTATTAATCACTTAGGTCAATGATTCAATATTAGGATATCATGCAGATCAAACACTCCATGTTTAGATACACTTTTGCATATTTTATCTTTGGAAATATTCTTTTGTGACTTATTTTAAAGAGCTTCTAAAAATAAAATCAAGGTTTAAATGGGGAACTAAAAAGATGGGTTAATGGGAATATAATTCAATGGCATTAATTTTAGAAAACACAATGTGGATAAATGATTATATGAAACATAATATGAATGAAGGAAAGTGTTAAATACAATGTATGCAAATTTTTAGTGCAAATAAATGTAAAATAAAAATGAAAAATAAAAATGTATATGGTTTAATATTTTTTCTATTTCAAAGATAAATTAGGTGCTATGAATTTTTTCTACTAAAAATGCTTTGTCACAACTCTTTTCTCTAAAAGCATTACCTGAGTGTTGTCTGTAGGTGCTTATGCTATAAATCATATAGGAATACATATGTGAAGAAATCTGGACAATGACTACGGAGCATAGATGGAGAATGAATACCTTTGAACTGTGATGTTGGAAAAGAGTGCTGAACATACCATGACTGCTAAGAGAACAAACAGATTCATCCTGGAGAGGGTTAAAGCAGGCTGTTCCTTGGAGGCAAGGATTTTGAAGCTTCGTCTGACATATTTTGGACATGTGCAAGGCAGAATCAGTGCTTGGAGAGGGATGTCATGCTTGGGAGGGTGGAGAGACTATGAGTTGCAGGCGACTTGACAGCACATAACAACAACAACAACAATTCTTAGAATGTATCTACTATCCAAATTCTCCTGTATGCTATATTGGAAATTATTATATACTGAAGTTAATATACAAAGGTATATATTAGGATGTCATGAGCGTAGTTCTGCATTTGTTACTGTTGTTACTATGTGCTCTTGAATCGACTCCAACTCATATTAATCTTATAAACAGTGCATTTGAACTCTGCCCTATATTGTGTCATTCTCATCATCTCTGGCATGCCCATTTTTACAGTCACTCTGTCAATGTCTTTCATTGAAGGACTTCCCCTCCTTTGTTGACCCTTCACCTTTCCAAGCATGATGTTTTTTCCCAAGGACTGGTCAGTTCTAACAACATGTAAAATTTTCACTATCCTTTATAAGGAATACCAGGGCTCAGCAGTTAGCACTTCACAAATATCCATAAACATAAAAAATATCTCAAGATTTTCCTCACTTTACATATATAAATGTAAGTATTCAAATAAGTTACTTAAAAATCAAAGAAAGAATTGGAAAATATATTTTAATGTAAATCTCTGATTTTCTCCACATGTTAATAATCACATGAATTTTAGGTGTCTGTGAGTGTTGTAAATGGTATTTTGATTATTAATCAAAATGTTAGCATTTCAAATTCTAAGAGGTTCCGAAAAATAAAGAACTGGCTATCTACTTCTGAAATATCTACCATGGAAAACCCTATGAAGAACAGTTCAATTCTGACACAGATGCAATTGAATTTAGATAGAAGTTATTTGAAGGCAAGAGTTGTAGTAAGTTTAAGAAATAAATTAGCCTATAATAGCCTTTATTTTTCACTGATTAATATTTACCAAAGTGTATTTGTTTTTGGTTTTCTCTGATTACTTTCTTAAAATATTATTTTCCAAAAATCCTCTATGAAGCCCAGAGGTCATAAAAAGTCAACAAATGGATGCTGAGAATTTTATTGGAGGAGTGAGCAAGAATCTAGGTGTTCCACCATCGATTAAAATATAGCTATTTTGATATATTTTTACATATCAGGTTGTTGTTGTTATGTGCCATCGAGTCGTTTGTGACTCATAGCGACCCTATGTACAAGAGCCCTAAACATCGTTCTATCCTGTGCCAACCTCGCTGTCTCAAACACATTCATTCCCACCACTCCACTCACAGAATTAATCCATCTCATTGAGGGTCTTCCTCTCCTGC